TTTCATTTTCATTGAATTCTAGGAAATCTTTAATTTCTTTTTTATTTCTTCCTTGACCCATTGATGTTTCAGGTGGGCATTATTCAGTTTCCATGAGTTTGTGTGTTTTCTATAATTTTTGTTGTTGTTGAGATTTAACTTTAAAGCATGGTGGTCTCATAAGTTACAGGAAGTTATTCCAATATTTTTGTATCTGTTGCGATTTGTTTTGTGGCCAAGCATGTGGTCAATTATTGAGAAGGTTCCATGGGGTGCTGAGAAGAAGGTATATTCTTTTGTGTTAGGATGGAATGTTCTGTAGATAACTATTAAGTTCATTTGAGTCATAACATCTGTTAGGTCCTTTATTTCTTTGTTAAATTTCAGTCTTGTAGATCTGTCTTTTGGTGAGAGTGGTGTGTTAAAATCTCCCACTACTAATGCGTGGGGTTTGATGTGCATTTTAAACTTGAGTAGTGTTTCTTTTATGAATGTGGGTGATAATTTTTTAATGATAGCTTTCAAAGCAGTGTGTGTATGTGTGTGTGTGTGTGTGTGTGTGTGTGCCTGTTTGTTGTGTAGAGTGTCTGTGTTGTGTGTGTTGGGAGTGTGTTAAATTTAAACTAAATTACTAGAGATACTTCATCTTCTCCTGTCCCGTCTTCCTCCTTCCTTAGACAGAGATCTCACTGTGCCAGTCTTGGAGTGTGATAACTCATCACCTTAGAGCATGCGACTTGATAAAGAACAAACAGTAACTGTCATTAGCATGGGCTTCATGTCAAGTCTGACCTGAGCCTCTTTCTACTCACTTGGAAAAGAGAAACCTCCTTCTTCTCTTGGTTTCCCATATTTCTGCTCCTCACGATAAAGACATAACAAATGTTTTATTGCTAGAATATTTGTGTTCACCAAATGACAATGACCGTGTATGTTCTTGTTGATAATGATGGTCATTGGTGCTTCAGCCTAGTTCTAAGGAGCTCAGGAAAAAGACCAGTATAGCAATGGAGCTGGTTGCTGAGCATCCCATTCTGTTTTTGAATGATCCCACCACTGGCTTAGACATGAGGAATACAATAGATGTCATCTTGGTCCTGAGAAGGTAAGTGCTGAAGGAGTATTAAATCTTATTCACTTAATACTTGGTCACTTGTGTGTATTTTTGGTGCAGGATATTCAGAAGTAAGCATCAGAATTTCTTCCTTGTTCATTAGAGGGACACTTCAATTAACAAGGAACACACATCAAGAACAATGAGACAAGAGGATAGGGAAAGATGGCTGTGGTGAAGGTGAAGCACTGCTTTAAATAAATGTCCCCATAACCCTCAAGCATGTGTCAAGTGAGCTGGGGATGAGTGGGTGAGATCTGAACAGAGCACTGTATGGAGGGGAAAATGCATTTGTTCTGAGGCAAAGCATGTTTGATGTGTCTGGAACATTAAATAGACCAAGTTGACTAGAACCCAGTGGCCTGAGAGGATGGAAAATAGCGACTGCACTGCTAAAGACACCACAGACTGGGTGACTTGATAGCAGTTAAATTTATTACAGTACTCAATCCTGGAAGCCACATATTAATGTATCCACAGGCTGTGTCTCCTGAGGCCTTGGTCATTGAGTTGTGCATGGTATCTCTTCCCTCTTCATGTGTCTATGCCCTGATCTCTTAAATGGACACCAGTTACATTACCTTAACTTAGTTACCTTTTTTAAAGATTCTGTCTCCAATTATAACTACATTATAAGTTCTTAGATGTGAGACCTTCAACAAATGAGTCTTTGGAAGGACACAATTCAGCCCTCCACATTCACAGTTGAAGTGAGGGGTTTGTTTGAGTTGGATGTAGATTGCCTAGACCACCTGGGCCACTGTAAGGACTAAGGTTTCCATAGCAGGGGGTGTGGGAAGGCTTCTGAGTTTAGAGCAGAGCATGCATCATAACTAAGTTTGTGCAGTTGCATCATGCAGATCTAATGATGTCAGCAGGAGGATGAGGTGTGGAGATTCCTTAGCTATAGAATGGTATGTACTGTGTGTGCTTCAGAGATAGAACAAATAAAATTATCTCAGGGATTGGCCCTAGATTTGATGGCTGAAGGAATGATTCTTAAATATTGGGTCTTTAACCAGGGAAAGAATGAAATTTAAAATGTGGTATTTCTTTCTATCAAGAAATAAGTTTATGGCTGAAATATTTATAAAGAAAAGTGTAAGGGTTAGATTTTTTCATTTTAAAAATTAGTAAGAATTTCAAACTGAGCGAATAACTCCAAGAACCGTACAAAGACTGTCCCATTCCCATGACCTGGGCTCCTGGCTGTTGAACTCTACTGCACTCTCTGTCTGTCCTTCCTTCCCTTTGTTCTTTGTTTTGTTCTCACATCATGGTTCATCACCCTAAACACTCCTGCCTGTCCCTCCAAGAACCATATCATCCACCATTACACCTTTCCAATGAGGAAGTCAACACCTGGGTCCTTGTCACCTTCCAGTCTGTAGACTCCTCAGGTGTCACAACCTCCCTGTCTGTCCCCTCTCCTGTCTGCTCCAAGATACTCTTGGATCAAGTTCTTGTCATTTTCAGTATGGAACGCTTCTCTCTGTCCCTGTGTCTCATGCCATGGCTAGTCTTAGTGCATTGCATGGGGCCATCCTAAGTGTGGTTTCTCCCATTGTTCTGCAGCAGACTCAGGCCCTGATATGCTGTGTTCTCCTTGGTCCCCAACATTCCTGGAAGTGCATCCTCCATGGTAGAAATATTTAATTTTTTTATAATTATTTTTTATTTGCTGTGTGTGTGTGTGAGAGAGAGAGAGAGAGAGAGAGAGAGAGAGAGAGAGAGAGAGAGAGAGAGAGAGAGAGAGAGAGAGAGAGAGAGACTTGGCTTTCTCCTTCCACCAAGTTGGTTCAGGGAATTAAACTCTTTAGACTTGGCATCAAGTGTCTTTACCCATTGATCCATCTCCCTTTTCTGTCTTGAATCTTGATCATCTAATCATGCTGGTGGTTGCTGGGTTATATCATATGCAATTAGAATTTTTTCCTTTTATGATTATTAATAGTCTGACAGGGAAAACAATTGGCTGTTATGCCATTATTCTACTCATTATCTCATCTCTACCAACCAGTTGTCTTGTGAATTAGTAACTTTTGCTCTTGTTTTAATTACTTCACAAGCTGACATGACATTCTGTATAGAAAGGTTTCTCTCCTCGGTTCCTGTGTTGTACAATGGGCTGTAATATGTTAATCTTCATTATTCTAAGTATTAAATCAATCCCAGTTTGGCTAGTGGAAGCCCCTTCATTGTGAGGTTTATGTTTTAATTTATTTTTTAGGGATATCATACATGTATTTCAAACATATTTTTTCCTTTGACAAGGATTCATGTACAAAAAATAAAGAAAATTAAAATTATATTCTTTGACAAGAGCTACAGAGATGAATCAACAGTTAAGAGCACTTGCTGCTCTTCCAGAGGACTCAGGTTAAATTCCCAGCATTCACATGGCAGCTCACAACCATCTCTACCTACAGTTCTAGGGGATATAATGCAATCTTCTCACCTCCACATGCACCAGGAACACATGGTATACAGACACACACTCTAGGAAAACACCCTGCACAATAAATAAATATGTTTTAAAGAAAATATTGACACGGATACAAATTTTTAAAATAAAATTTTACTTTCATGTAAACAAACACGTTTCTGTAGGTGTGACTCTGTAGGTGTGATCCTGTAGGTGTGATTCTGTAGGTGTGAGACACTGCCCAGGATTCCAAACTAAATGCTGTGGGAGGAGATGCTGAGGCCACAGATCCTAGACCTTACTCTGAGGAAGGCTCTTGTCATGTCTACTCTGAGTCCTTGCAAGCTCTCTACTACCCTCCACCTGATGTCCCAGCTTATGACGGAGGGGTTTCCTGAGCCTAAGCTGCTCTTCCTACAATCTCTTTTAATATTTTAATTCCACACCCGTTATTTACCTTTCTCTGTGTCCTTTTTTGTCTATCTCTCTCTTCCTCCCTGCCTCCTCTTCTCCATGCTTCCTCCCTTCCTCAAACATATTCAGGCACACACAATCCTTGCTGTGTAGCAGTGAGCTCTCATAGTTTCCTAAACAGACGTTTTAGTTCACACTGTGTACAGCTGGTTCTTTCTCTTCTTAGCTGGTGGTACTCTGTTTTACCTGCAGATGGGTTGCAAGTCTGTTTAGCTCACAAGGAATCCTTGTTCACTTCCGTCCCATCTGCATTGATATTACTATCTGGCCTGGCTTCTTTGAGGCTGTCTATCTTTGGATACAGTGACACCTCATAGTATATGCTTATGAGATGCTTTCCTTGAAGTTTCATAGTTTTTCATTTTCCTCTGAAGCCCAGGCTGATATCACTTTCTTGCCTCTGCCTTCTAAATGCTGGAATTCAAGGTGTGCACTACATTTCACAGCTTTCTCATCCTCTTTTCCTTTTCTCCCTCCCTCCTCTACCCTTCTCTCCTTTCCTTCCTTCCTTCCTCCCTCCCTCCCCCCTCCCTGCCTCCTTTCCTTCCTTCCTTCCTTCCTTCCTTCCTTCCTTCCTTCCTTCCTTCCTTCCTTCCTTCCTTCCCTCTCTCCCAAGCCCTCTCTTTCTTTCATTCTTTCTGTTTGTCTTTTTGAAACAGGTTCTCATGTACCCTAAGTGGGCCTTGAACTCCTGATCCTCCCTAGTGCTGGGATATTACAAATATGCCACCATACCCAGCTTTTATAGAGATATTTTCATAGCAGTTTTAGACACTTTTTTATTATTGACTCTCCTAACAGAAGATACGACTTTTTATTTTTTCATGTTATGGAGTTAAACCAACAATCAAATCCCAGGTTTGCCCCTCACTCACTGATCCCTTGGCCTGTTGCTTGACCCCTTAAGCCTTATCAACAGAAAGAGGAAATTGTATTAGAAATGCCTTATGCTAATATTGTGAAAATTGAGATGAGGTTCTTGCTGAAGGGTTTAGCAGGGAGAACAAGTGTTTAATAATATGGATCACAGTTTCAGAACAATGTAAACCAATTCCTGAAGAGGCAGAAAGTGAAAATGATTGAAGAGAATTGTGCATACATTCATAGTTTTAATATTTGCTGTTATTTGTTCTCAAGCTTGAGTTAACCTGCAGATCACCTGGGCTTCCTGTTCATGATATGGATTCTTTACACTGACTCCTCCCAGATATTCTGTGTCAGTGTTTGGAAGATTGCCCAGAGATCTACATAGTAACATTTGGGTGGACCCTGAACTACTGATGCCCCACATTTTGGAAGTCCTAATCTTTTAAATAAAAGCTTGGAGCTTGGTTTAATCTACCAGATGCATAATACAAGGGAGAGAAGCTGATTTTAAGGAAAGCTCAAGCTGAAATGGGAACAAAGATTATAACTTCAGGAATAAAGTATTTTGTTGAGAATTTCCAGGTTTTGACGGTCAGTGACTTAGGATTTTTCCCTCTTTCAACTTAGGATGACTATGAGGGGACAGACAGTCATCTTCTCCATTAACCAGGCTCAGTACACCATCTTCAGAACTTTTGATAGCCTCACCTTAGTGGCCTCAGGAAAAGTCATGTATCACGGGCCAGCACAAGAGGCCCTGGAGTACTTCACATCGGCAGGTATGGCTGGCTTTTGCTGTGAGAGCTCCTTCATTCAGGGGATCTGGCAAGAGAACAGGGCTTCTCAGGAATGCTCTTGGCCCTGGTGCAGACTTACTGTGTGTGGATTTCTCCATTTTAATTTAATTAACTTGGTGACAGGATTCTGTTAGCTGTGCAGCACGGTCTTGTTGTTCAGATCCTATTTCTTTCTGCTGTCCTGTGTCACGCCTGGGTCACAGTATTTTTCCTGAGCCTCTTGTTCTGTTTCCCAGTTGTGGTGACCCTCTTAATTAACATACTGGCCTCAAGTCCAGTTATCTGTCACTGGAACAGCTTTGGAAAGCCCAGGATCATCCTGTTCTTGCTCAGGTAGCAGATGATGTTTTTCAGTTTTCCCCTAGTGTGATCTGACTCTGAGGAGCTGTGGAGATGTTACTTAAGTCAGTTGTAACTTTGAATTTCAGGTTTAGTCAATGATTGGGGGACAGAGTCGCTTAAGTCTGCCTTCTGTGGACTCATGTTTTTCATCTACCGGGTTTTTTCAGAGTCAGATTGAATGAAGACATATTTTGTAATGGTTCATGCTGTCAGCTTCATCTTAGTGAAATATGAATATAGTTATGGAAGATTGTCTTTGACTACAAATATAGGTTTAAATATTTGCTGTCCAGTACTCCTATTTGTTTTTTATTAATCTTGGTCATTTACAAAGGTGCAAACATTTGTGAGTCTATGGAGTCCAATAAAAATTTAGGCCAAATTCAAATGATTCTATCACAGGAAGAGTTCACATATCTATGTCTATGTCCAGCCTATGTCTAAGTATAGCCTATGCCCATGTCATGTCTATGTCTAGTCTATGTCTATTCTGTGTCCATGTCTAGCATTGTCCATGACCATATCTGTGTCTAGTCTATTCCTATGTTTAGTCTATGTATCTGTCTAGCTGTCTTTGTGTATATATATATATGTCACCAACATAAACACACACATGTATACAATAGGCCGTGAAGCAGAGATTGCTGAAATATGTGTGTATCTCTAATAGGAAAGGATAAATTAATGGGGAAGTGTCAAGAAGAGGAAGAAAGAAGTTCTTAGATTCTGTCTCTCCTCTCCATCCCACTCTCTGAAAGAGGGTCCTCAGGTTTGTGTTCTTGGCCTGCCTTCTTTGTAGGTTACAAATATGATTCTCACAACAACCCTGCAGACTTCTTCCTGGACATCATTAATGGAGGTTTCTCTGCTATATTAGACACAGAGGAAGAAGGCCATGATGGTATGTGAATCTTCTAGAGTCACAGGTTTTTGTCTAACTGATTTCATTAAAACACATCCATGAGTCTCATTAGAATATAACTTTTTATGTTAACTATCCTAAAATTATCTAACAGTCATTGCTGTCAGTTAGTGCGGGTTTTTTATTTAATTTATAAAAGAACATTTATATGGTATTATCAAAAGGTAAATTTCTGTTAAAAAGTAGATGTATTTATTGTTTGTCATATTATTCTTGTTATTGTTTTAATTATGGTTTGCTTATGTAGCCAGACTGGCCTTAAGTCTGTGGTCTTTCTACCTCACCTCCCAAGTTAGGTATTACAGGGCTATGTCACCATGCCTGCTATTGTTTATAACATTTTAAAATTATAGTACTTATCAGTTTATACACTTGCATATACATTCACATGAAGCAGAAAGCAGGGACCAGACTTTTATGTTACAAAGGGAAGGAAGACTTTGTTAAGACTTGGGGTCCAGAAGGGAAGAGGTCATTTAGTTTGCTGTATCCATGAGATAATGGAAGTAGTCAGGTCAGTTAGGGACACTCTTCTAATCTGTTAAGGAATTACACAGGTGTAATTTTATTATTCTCAAAATGTGGTGGACTGAAGCTGTAGCACAGCTGGTAGCGTCCTTGCCTAGCATGCACCAAGCCCTGAGTTTGGTTTCTAGCACTGCATAACTGTGTGTGAAGTGCATGCCTGCCATCACAGCACCTGAGACAGACACAGGAGGACCTGGAGAAGTTAAGGTCACCCTTGGCTCCATAGCAACTTTGAGGCCAGTCTAGGGTACATGAGACTGTCTCAAAGAAAAACTGATACATAATTTATGTTATTAATGAAAAGTATTTCAGAAAAATCACTTAAATTATTGTCTGTTTCTTGTCTTTATCCGTTTTTATCCCAAAGCCAACAAATACAGAGCTTTCTGAGAGACAGCACCAAGTCACAGAAAAATTAGCCAATATGTATGTTCAGTCCTCCTTATACAGAGAAATGAGAACTGAACTGGATCCACTCATGGGGAAACAGAGGACAGAGAGGAGCTCAGCCTTGAAGGAGGCCACGTGTGTCACCCCTTTCTGGCATCAGCTCTGGTGGATTATCCATCGTTCATTCAAACATTTAAAAGATTTTAGAAAAGTCACTATGATTCAGATAATCTGATGAATTATTTTAATAGTATTGTGAAAAACTCAATTGGGAACAGTTTGTTTCTGAGTCAGTCTTCTTTGGGGTCACAATTATCTTCTACTCTGTTCCAGTTATTTGATATTCTCACTCTACTTGGCATATGGAAATATTCAATAAAGCAAATAGAACATGATTGATTTTTTACTTACAGAAAATGTTTTTAGTGGATTTTAATTATCTAGAGGAAGTATAGTGACTAATCTCAGTAGGAAATTGAATTCAGTGAAGGCAATAAGAAATTCAACATACCTGAGAATTCCTCATAAGTGTCTAGTTTAATTCACCAGTGCATCCTACAACCTCAAAGTTCAGGAATGAGTGGAGGAGTCAAAGGCTTTTTCCTCCTGTAACTTTTCATGTGGGTGGATGGATGGTAACTGAATAAACAGATACAATTGTAGCATGTCAGATGAAAGAATGGACTTTGGAGAAAGTTTAAGTAGGAAGGGTGGAGGTGACTGGGGAGGGAAAGGGGGTTGATCTGTAGTTGAAATCATGGGATGAGGAAACAGGGCCATTGATCCCCTCTGAGGGAGCCTGTGCATGCACTGCCTGAGAGATGAGCCCATTGCAGAGTGCTGTTCCTTATTGGAGTCCAGTGTGAAAGCGGAAGCTACTCAGAGTGCAGTTCACACACAGATAGTGACTGGACTGAACAGTGCTCTTCCCTGTCAGCTGACTGGGAACTGGGAGGAAGAGAGGTTCTGTAACTGAAGATTTTCTGTGTCCTGCCCAGTCCACAGCTGCTCAGACCCAAATAAACACATAGAGGCTTAATATTAATTAAAACTGCTCAGCCATTAGCTCAGGCCTACCACTGACTAGCTCTTACACTTAAATTCAGCCTATTTCTGTTAATCTGTATGTTGCCACGTGTTCCATGGTTTTACCTGTGTGCCATTACATGATGCTTCTGGAGGGCAGGCTAGCATCTACCGACTCAGTCTTCAAATTCCCATAGTTCTCTTTGTCTGTTTATCCCACCTATAGTTGCCTGGCTGCTGGCCAATCAGCGTTTTATTTATTAACCAATCAGAGCAACACATTCACCTTAATTTTCAGTTTAACACACAAGTAGTCTATTGACATGTGTGTTAATATTCTTCCAAGGACTCTTGCCAAAATATAGTGTTTATCTCACTGGAGAGATCTGATAGATCTGATTAAGAAACTGTATATCTTAAAATAATAAACAATGTGTACAATCCTTTCTATTCCTAATGAAAATTTGTTCTTTTCCCTGTTTTCTTTTTGAAAGGCAATTATAACAATCATAATGGCAGTGATTGTGGGTACCATTTTTCATTTCTTACAAAATGATTGTAGTGTAGTCCACACCAGGTAAGCAAATTTGGATCCTGATTTTGAGAAAATGGTGTTACTTTGTTCAAGGTTATATGAATTCATTAATAATCAGAATTCCAGAAAAGAACAGAGTAAATATTTTATCATGTGATAGAGTATGTTGGTACATTTAAAGCTCAGTGGAAGAACTCACTTTTTCACATATGTTTGTGTCCAGATAGTATGAAACTATTGCCTTACTACCTGACCTCTTAAAAGTAAAGGGAGAGGGGTCACTCATGAGGCCTCTTGCTCCCTGCTTTCTGGCATGATCAGACTACCAGGTGGAGCTAATGGCTATTTCATACCATGATTTTTAGGAGGTCATGTAGGACAGCAAGAAGCACTGCTTCCTTTGGACCAAATAGCCCAAAGTCATGGGCAGAGCAAATACTACTACATATCACACATTTCACATTTTACCAGTTTTAGTGTATGGAGTAGTTTCATGTTATACGACAATCACCAAACTAATTCTAATGATATCCCATAGCTCTGAATGTAGATTCCCCATACTACCCACTCCATTCCCCATTCCTGGAATCAACCATTCTACTTTCTGTCATTGAATATGACTAATGTAAAAGCCCTGAATTAGAGTCACAAATATCTGTGTTTTGTTGTTATTTGTGTTTAGTTTTTGTTTGTTTTGGCTGGCTTGTTTCCATTGGTCTAATGTCCTCAGACTCTTCAAAGTGTGGCACGTGTGTGGATTTCTTGGGCTCTGTAAGGAAGAATAATAGTCCATTGTGTGTGTATGTGCTGTGTTGCTTCCCATTCATTTGTGGCTGGAAATGTGGTTTGCTCTCAACTTTGGCTGCTCTGAACTATGCTGCTGAGTGCTCAATTGCATCTGTTTGAGCTCTGGACTTTTGCTTTTTAAGGCAGAAAGCTTGAGTTGCCAAATCATAGGTCATTGGGTTAATTGTTTAGGAACTGCTGTTCTTTCTCCAACTCCACTGTACTATTTTATATCCTCACCAGCACAACACAAGGGCTCCAGAATGTCCACATCACCCAAACTTATGTCCTTTCTTGTTTTGAATAAGATATCTAAGAAAAAATAAATCACAATTCATTGGATGTTTTATGAAGTGTCAGCAATTTTCCATTTTAAAAAAGAATATTTCGCCCTTCTGGACCAGAGGTGAGTATCCGGGTCCAACCCGGACCCCATCCCTGGGCACCAGCCACTCCGGGAAGACCTGCCCAACTTGGCCACAGGTTCTAGCCACCGGGCGGGTCCCCTTCTAGCCCCACCGAGAGGGATCCCCTTTTCCAAGCCCCCCGGCAGCCCCTGCAATCTCCACGCCCTGTCCCCATGCCGATCAGCCCGAGACCCCAGCCACTTCCTGAGACTTAGAGACCGGCTCTCAGCTCCCATCCTGCCCCCGACTTCCCTTCTGGACCAGAGGTGAGTATCCGGGTCCAGAGTTGGACAAGAGAACTCCCTTTTGGACAAGAGAGAGAGACTTCCTGAATCT